AATTTTGGGAACTGAACACCTTTCAGTTCCTTTAGGAACTGGTAACCCAAAAGCAAAAGCAAATATTTGTAAGTGTAATGCTCCAAAATATTTTACAGTAGTGATCTTCACAATGATATACTCTCAGTCAAGTCTGTCTAGTCAAGCATGCCGTTCAGACAGGAGCCAAATGTAGCCTGATGGAAACCACAAGCAGGACATGAGTGCAATCAAATGCACCTGCTTGTGCAGCTCAGAAACTTATGTAGGAAGTTGCTGGAGCTAGCATGTCCCATCATGATGAGTAGCCATTGACAGCATCCTTCATGAATTCATCCAATTCCCTTTTTAAGTTGCTTTAAAGCCATCTAAATTGGGGGCCATCACAGTATCTTCTGGTAGCAAATTCCATAGTTCAACTATGCACTGTATGAAGTGCTTCCTTTTATTTAACTTGATCTCCCACCAATCCACTTCATTAAATGACCCTTCTAGTATTACAAGAGAAGGAAACCAAGTTTCCTGACCCACTTTTTCTGCACCATGTATAATTTTATATATAGCTCAATCATGTCACGTGGTTCTAAGCAAAACAGTCCCAGCTGCTGTAGGCTTTCCTCATAAAGGAGTTGCTCATTTGTGCTGCTCTACAATACCCTTTTTAGATTTGATGATCAGAAGTGTAAACGGTATTCCTCATGTGGTTGGCCCACAGGTTTGTATGATATTAGTAGTTTTATTTTTGATTCCTTCCCCGATTAAGTCCAGGGAAACACTGAATTGACTTTGGGGTGACACCAGTGTCCAGTACCTGGAAAATGCAAGAATCATTTTATATTGACATTTATTTTTAAGTGTCTTTTATGTCATTGGAATTAATAGTACAAGGCTTACAATATTTAACATTGCTAGAGCACATTTTGAGGATTCAGGGTGCTTCAGAGGTTGTTACCACAGCCATGGAAGGTAAGTTAATATTGTTATTGCCCCATATGCTAATCCTTAGTTTCTAGCCTTCTTTCTTACCTGGGTATTCTCTTGGCTGCTACTTTCTAAGCAAAGTGCCAGTGCCATGGCCTGTAATAGTAATGATGGGGCCTGGCACATATCAATTAGAACAGAGGTTATGCATGTCTATGCAAGCAGAAGACTACTATCAAGAAGAGCCGATTCTTTATGCATTGAGCTGGACTGCTTTGACAAGTGGGTGCACAAGCAAGCCATCCAATGTTAATCACACAGTGGAAATACATTGGCATGAGTGAAGACAGCCCTTCTGGGAACCTGTACTCAAGCCATTTAAGGCTTTAAAAGTGCATATATCCACATTTGCTGAAACACTACAGTGCCACTTCCAGCAGAAACCTGGTGCATCCATTCTGCAGAAGATAAGCTCATGAGAGACAGGTGGTTTGCCATGAGCACAGGCTAAGCATGCCACACCACCCTCCCTGTGAGCCTCCATATTTTCTACTTGTGGGGAGCTGCTGTGCCAGGGCTCTAAACTATGCAGGGAGCCCCTACAAGTAAAGTAGACACCTGTCTTCCCAATACATAGAAGGTGATAAAGCCAGTAATAGAAATAAAACAGAGGAGGGAAGGCCAGCAGGATCCTGCAGTTGCTCCTCCTCAGGTGATGGCCATTGGCAGAGGTAGGGGAAAACAACCCAGTACAGTTCATGATGATGGGAAAAATACTACATGTTCAATGGGAAGATATATGTTTATACATGCGCCCATGGGTGTTTTATCCAGACCTACAGCAGCTAATTCACCATGTCATTGCAGATACTCATTTCTGTGGGTGGTGAAACCCCTATAATGTTACCTACTGCTATAACCTAAGTGTTAGGAGCATGTTGCTAATGGGCATCCTTTAAACAAATTTAATAATGTAATAAATGTAAATAATATATAATCAATAATAATAAGTAGTAGATGATGATGATGATGATGATGATTGGGAATCCCAAGAGCACACACAAATCTAGCTAATACTGAAAAATCACATAGCTTGTTCTGATAACTAAGAAATTATAACTGATTTATCTGGCTTTGTACTTAACACAGTATGCTATTTTCCCAACTAAAATGTAATGGATTGGTTTAACAGTCTCCACATCTATTATTTAGCACTTATTTTAAAAAAAAGATTTTTTTTTCCTTTTCAATCTGAAGAAATGTTTTAATTTTATTGTCCACAAATGAAGCCTTACATTTTTGCCATTTGTCATATGCTACTGAGTAAAATCCTAAACTCACTGGAAATCCTCACGTTTTAAAAAGCACTAAATGGACAAGTTCAAATCAGTTCCCTGCCCCATCATCTTTGGAGTCAGCTGCTGGAAAGGACAGCTGGTCTTTATTAGGTCTTTTAAAACTTTGCAGTTTTAATTAGCCGGTACCTATAATAGGACATGCAGTATGCACCTAGAAGTATGTCTAGTCAGAAGTAAATCCCACTGAGTTACAAAATCTTAAGTAAGCACACACAGATTTGCAGACTTGCTTCATAAGTGTGCATGGACACACTTACCAGAGTGTAAACACTATACTCTTTAGCAGAATTTTATCGACAGACATATTCTGAGTGTTTTCCTTTTTTTTCCAATAAGGTGTTATAGCAAGTTAAATGTAAAATTAAATGTCATTACAAATTTGGGAGACATTGTTTTTATTAAGATATCAAAATACTGGTGCTCACACACTATGAATACTGTCTGCAAATAATTAGTCTGCAAATATTCACACACTATTAAATTTTAGTATCTGCAGGACTTCCCAAACCACTCAGCAGACCTTACTTCTGAGCAAAAACAAACTTAGAACTGTGCCATAAATTACCTGTTCACTATCTAAAGAAATATTCTAATCCACAATCTAAGTACACTTATCCAAGTCAGTGAGATTACTTTTATCTTTCCGTCTTAAAAAGAAAATAAGAACAGTTTTGTACCCATCCTTCATCTATAGGATACATAAGCTACACTAAGGATATCTGTCTGAATAGGATGCAATTACTTCAGGGCTTGTGCCTTTTCAGTCAGTCAGTGTCCCTGCAGTGTTTAAAGTGGCAGAGGGGAAGTGGCCTGTGGTTAAACAGAGGAAATACCAAGGAATTTTAATAGAGCAAATAGTCTTTTTACTTCCTACAGGGTAGCACTTCAAAGGCAGCCTTGCCCCAGAGCAGACAATGTGTTACAGGGGCCATCAGTCATTCAATAGTATGTCAAGTCTATTCAAAACTTACATGCAGCCTAAGATAAATACTACACACACAAGACAACTGGTCCTATCCTGCAGTCAGTGCTTGGGAATATGCCCCTTTCTGTGGTCAAACATTTTCTCTTACACTCAGGCTTGCTCACAGGCGTGCGCGTACACGCACACACACAAAATTCAAAACAGTGTCCTAAAACAAATTCATTGAACAAATTTCAATTTCAAGAATTGAATTGAATTAGTCTGCACTGAATATAGAAATGCAGACTAAGATGTGTGAAAGCAAGGTACCAGTTTACTGGGTAACAAACTTTCACACTGTACCATAAATATAAGAGACTGTATTTATAAAATTTAGTTTGAATACTTAAGCTTTTCTACTTTATACCAGTGAATTTCTCTTCAGTATAATAGAACATTCTCAAATATTTATTACACATAAATATTCAAGCATTTTAATTGCTAGTGTTAAGCAATTGTTAAGGGATTGTTAAGCCCTATACAATCTGATGCATACTCAGTTTCAAAATATGCAAATCAAATCTCTTGATGAGAAACACCAAACAGAAGCAGCAGCTCAAAGTATTTTCTTTCCAGATCTATCAGTTAACTAAAATCAAGATGCAAATATAACCAGTGCAGAGTTAAGTTCTTCACAAAGATTTGGCTTTTTTGTGCACCTCGCCCCCTTTGGGCTGTTGTTTTTTATTTTGGGGTTTTTTTTGTGTCTTGGGGGTGTGGGGGGGTGGACACTTGCCTTCCTGTAAAAAGCTGTGCCAACTTCCAACAAGTTCTACCAGTTGCGTTTTGGTTTTCAAGTTTGCTGTAACTCCCCCCGCTCCCCGCGCCACTCAGTGTTGTGATCTAAACCCAAGGAAATCTCGATGACAGTCTAACAAAAAAGTTAAGGAGGCAATGAAAGTCAGTCATGCCCTTCGAGGAGCCTTCATCTGGAATCTTTAATAAGGCTGAAAATGGAATGGGGGGGGGGTTTCCACTAGAATTCCATTTCCAAAAAAACAAACACACCGACAGCAACAAGTCGCAGTGCAGCATCCACGGAGAAAAACTTCGCACTAGCAAATTGCTATCAGGGACAAAAGGTAAAACCCTAAAACACTCTTTTTTATCACCTTACAAGTACACCCGGTCCCCCTTTCCCCTTCGGTCTAATGACCAGGCCTGTAGCCAAACCAGCCTCCAGTCATTAAAATAACAAAGCCGCAGCGATCGCCTTTTATCCCCTCTCCCAGGGCAGGTCTAGTTAAGGAGGGGGATAAGGGGGGCGCGGATAAAAGACCTGTTGAGTGACTTCACACTTGTTGGCTTCTCCCCTCGGCCACCCTCCCGCCTCTTCCCCAGCCTCCTTTGGAGCGACAATGCAGCCAAGCGCCTCCACGAGCAGCCACCCCAAATTCTAGAAATGCCGTCTCTGCCAATCATCTGTCAGATGGTGAAAGCGAAGGAGCAAAGTGCGTGCGTGTGTGTGAGAGAAAGAAGAGATCTGAGGGCAGCCCTTGTCGCATCGCTGCATCCCGTTGCGCCTATTCTAAGGATGGCAAGCTGCCCATGCTCAGGCACCACCTGCAAGCGCCCCCTGCGCCAAGAAGACCACGCGGTACCTGGCAGGTCTTGGCACCTCTTTCCCCTGTGACCGCAAGTTGTGCAGACAGAATGAAGGAGGGAAAAGCCCACTCAACCCAAGTCAGTCCAGCTGAATTAAAACAGAAAGAAAAGAACACAAAGGCTCTCTCTCAATCTCTCTCTCTCCTTCCAGTTTTCCTTCTATTCTTTCTTACCCTCCAGCCGCAAGCATCGCCCGCTGGCCCTTTTCTGCCGCCACTGCTGCCTCCTGCGGACACAGCCAGCCGCGGGCCATCGAAACAGGCGGTAAGGGAGAAGAAGAAGGAGCAGAACTTGAGCCACGGTGCCATCGCCTGTCTCGCCGCTGCAGCGCCCCAAGTCCGGAATCTGAGCTCCCGCAGCAACTTCAGGTTGGAGACGCGAAGAGGGGAGGGAAAAGGGAGCTGCGCGCATGCGCGGCGGAGTGCACGGAGACATATGTCCATACAGCTCCCTCCTTCTTCTCCCCCCCCCCACGACCCGCTACCTTGCCAAGGATATGAGCGGGGGAGGGGCCGGACAACCACTACCATGTGTTGAGGCGCGGCAGAGGTCAATTGCTCCCCCTCCACCCGGTTCTGGGGCTTTATTATTTAATTTGCAACATCTGAGATGCAGTAAAATCAACGGAGAGCGTTTCTTTCCTTCCTTTGGCCTTTGCATCAAAGGAAGAAGGAGAAACTGCAGGAAAAGAAAAGTGGGAGGGAGAGCACATCATGCTCCCAAAACGAGAGTTGAAAGAAATGCGAGGTTACCAAAGAAAAAAGTTGCACTTCTGCACTGTTCACACGTCCAAAAGGATGCAGGATGCATAGATGTGGAATAGCTTGGCCCTCTTTTTTCCTTTTCTTACCTTGTCAGTAGGTGATCTGTTATCCAGGTTTATCATATCTGTACCACTATTCCAGTGTAAAGCAAATTTCACTCAACAGGTTTGCTGTAGAGGGAGGCAACCTCTGACCCTCATGTGTGGTTGACCCCCTTAAACTGTGCACACAGGACTGTAATGCTCCGATCTCCGTACACATAAAGAAGTGATTGGAATCACTGTGAGTCATTCAGAGAATACATTACAGTGAAGCAGAAGGAGATGCTAAAATTAATGTTAACTGGAATGCCCATTGGAAAGCATGAGAGATATCTGAAGGTCCAAAGGAAACACCAACAGCTGTTAATGCGAAATAACATGATTAGACTCTTCTATTTGAAAAAACAAAATAGAAGGAGCAATATAAACCAACCACCTCTGTCCCATAGCTGGCAATTATTTCCGGGCAGCCCAGTCATGACCACTGGCATTCATACATCCCATTATGTCCTCTGCTGCTTCAGATATACTTTTGTTGTTTCCAATGGACATTCCTGTAACTTGGTTTAGTACATCTTTGAATCATACCAAGTAGCAACAGGGCAGGATGCTGAAGATGATAAAGGAATGGTCAAAAGCAGCTGTGTAAGGCAGGGTATAGAAGGGGGGGCAAATGACATCAGAGGGCTTAGCCAACCTATTGAAAGCACTTGAAGGGTGTGAGCCCTCTTTTGGACATCACCCCACCTTTCCATTTTCCCTCCCAGTACATAGAAATGAAGCCAGCCCCCCCCCCCCCACACATCACTGCTGTTATCTCCAAGTAGAGGTGCCAGTGGGGCATGTACACAACAGTGCTGGTCTGTAGTGGCAGATGAATCCTCAATGTTATCTTTGAACACTGATCCAGAACAGCAGAGGGTTTGTGATTAATAGCGTGAAACCCAGCTTATACCTTGAGGAACCCCAAGGGACCATGCAGTCTGGATTAGGGTATCCAGCAGGCCGGAAGTTTTGTACCCCTGGAATAATCTGAAACATAGGGCCCTAAAATCACACATGGCTGAGTGGAGATTTGAACCTGGATCTCCCCGGTCCTGACACTCTAACCACAACTTTGGTTTTCTCAGCAGGAAGCAAGATATACTTCCAGATGGCCTTCTGGGATAGACCTTAGCCTGATAAGTTGAAACACAACTCCCATCATCCCTGATGATGATGGGAGTTGTGGTATAAGACAGCTGGAGGGTCCTGAGTTGGGGAAGGCTGCCAGGTGATTTTTTTTTAACTATTGGCCAGATTTGAAGCTGCTGCTTCCTTCCCTCTGAACTGGGCCTCCCCAGACAGAACAGTATATTAAGCTGAATTCCAGCCAAGAATAGCCAAGTAAATTTGAGCTGGCTTCTCTCTTCTTGCCTTCCTTCTTGAGTATCAAGAGACTCCCACAAGGATGTATAGGGCAATGAATACAGTCCCAAAGCATTATCCACATCCCATTCCTTTTTGTAGAGATATTTGCCCAGTTCAAAAATGTGTCTGCATAAATCTCTACCATGCATATCTTCATATGTATCATAAACGCATATTAATGCATAATCAAGCCAATCTTATGCACTTCTATCCCAGCTGAAATAAGGTTAGGGATGTCTGAAAAATCCACAGTGTATTCTATGGAGCTTGGATTTCAGTTAATCCAACCTACAGATTCTACAGCAGAATCTCTTTTCTCAATTGCAGGTTCCACAGACCTGCAGACTGGTTTTTCCTTTATTTTTTTTACTGAGGGTTGCACAGATCTGCACTTACAGCAATGCACATTAGTAGAATGAAATTCTCACACATCCATAAAAATTCCTGATTCCATCAATGAATAGCTCATAGAATCAAAGATGCCTGACAACTATGAAATACACAACTGATTTAATGAAATCTGTAAATTCCGAGGGGAAATATGCCAAGCAGGGAAACTCCACACATATACATCAACAGAACCTAGGTCATAGCTCAAGGGTTTTTGATAATAAAAAAAGAGAATTTCAAAATATAGTTTAATTATATCAGTGTTTATTTATTTATTTAAACAAATTGTATGCCACTCAGTTGTGCCCCAGCACCTCAGGGCCGCTCACAGTCATAAGATAAAACACAAAAACTAATTACAACATATTAAAATACCATGTTAATAAAATATGGATAAAAATACAAAAACAAAAGTTCAAATGACATTAACTATTGATCTTTTTTTTTTTTTTAAAGGAAGGTCTTTGCCTGGTGCAGAAAAGAATATAATGAAGGCACCAGGTGAATTTCCTTGGGGAGAGCATTCTGATTATTGCTCTGGTGTCCACCACAGAACTCCCTAAAAAATTTAAAAGGTTAAACTATTTTAAAAGTCATACACCTGGTGAAAAAGCCTAGTGCTTGGTATATTGGGGATCATGCCAACTAGAATTTCTGCCTTTGTATTTGGTAAGATCTCAGGACTGATGTGACTATTTCTCCACTGTTACCTATTCCGGGGCAACTTATTTCTGAATATGTGTCTTTTCTTTTAGCAGATCATACCTAACAGGTCATGATGAAAACTGCAAGATTCCTCGCTGATGCTATTAAAATAAGATCTGCTTTTGTTTCACTGCTCTAACTTCTATGGGTTCTGAGAGGTTATGTACAATGAACTATCCAATAACTTGGTGCTAGTATCTAACATAAATCACAGGATTTTTTCAGTGATTTTAGCTTAGTGCATTTTATTTGTTTTTATTTCTGTACATTTATATTTTGTATGCTAAGGCCCATGGCTGATGCAAATAAAGATTGTGTTGCCTTGTCTTTGTATTTGGTGAATTCTATGCATGCATCAAAGCTCCTGTTCCTGGAGGAAACTCTCACATTTGGGTGATACTTTATGAATATGGGCTAAACCGATTGTCTAAAAATCTCCAGATTTAAACAGAATCAGACTTTAAAGGAAAAGCTGCCTACATAATTCCTTTTTGATGATTTTAACCATGCACAAGGAAGACCAGGCAGGCTGGTTTTATCACAGACACTTGAGGGTGGTGGGTGCTGCTCCCACTTCTTCTGTTTGCTCCTAGGCAGTTCGGGATCTGCAAAAGACAGCTGTTAAATGGCATCATGCAAACTTTTTAATCTTTATTTTAGTAGTGTTTCAAACTACTGCTGAGCTTTTTCCCTGTATTATACCACACTATGTTCCCCCATTAATATATGAAGTCATATAAGTATTTGGTACGAATACCAGTGGGGTAAACAAAGAATCGATTAAATAATAAAAAACTTAAAGAAAACCTTGCTTTGGTCAAACAAAATAGCAGAATCATTAGCATACATGAAATTCAGCCCTGCTTATGTGTGCTTACTCAAAAATAAGTTCCAGAGTTTTCAAGGAAGCTTATTCCCAAGTACATGTAGGCAAGATTGCAGTCTTAAGTAAGCCCACCTCTCCCTTTTAAGAGTCTCATTAAGAACATTATTCTTGCCACCCAGATGGGCAGGAAGGCACAAATTGTGGTTTAGAGGCAAGACAATTAATAGGTGAGAACTGGTTCCAATATACATTCCAGGAAGGAACAAACAACCTGAGACTGGGGGAGGCTGAACTTTTGACCCGAGCAGAGCTTTTCATTCTAGGATGGTCGGATTGTTGCAGAATCAATATACAGTTCTGACGTATTTCACCATTATGCGCCACAGTTACACATCCCTGCTTTTGGCAGTTATCAAATTCTATTATACCCCCCCCCCGCCGGCTCTTTAATACATTTACCCATATTCATTCTTTTCAAGTGCCCCTTGCTTGGAGGGGAAGAGAATCAACGTAATGCCCTGCCATGCTGCAAATGACTGGTTCAATGCATCTTTGTATCTGGGGTTTCAAATCTCGCTGGCTTTTTCTTTACAATAGCCTCTTTTTGTTGAATAAAAATGAGTACCTTTGACATGGAACCCATCCAAAAGTCATGGCTATCAGTATAATGAGTTCTGCAGATGGTTTTCGTTGCCATTCTCCTCTTGCTTCAAGCAAAAAACTCTGCCTCTTCAGCAGCTGCTCCCAGGTGGAGCAGACATGCAGAGCATGACGGTTCCCCTACGGAAATGGGCAAAATCTAGAAAATAATAAGCAGTTTTGCAGCAGGATCAGGAGTTTCCTACCAGATCCTTCTATCACTTAGCAATAAATAAATAAATAAATAAATAAATAAATAAATAAATAAATAAATTAATTAATTCCTGGGCTTTTAGCAGACATATATTACACCCAAGCCTCACACGTCTGGCACTGGCAGAAAAGAATGCCATAAATCTCTCCCTGCAGGGAATACCACTTTGCAAGGTTCTTGACTGTAAAAGTGATTTTGAGATAGAAATGTAGACTGCAGCCTTAATCTCACTTACCATAGGTAAATTTTGATTATTCCTGGGGGATTTGCTTACAAAAACGTTTTTTAGAGTTTTTGCCTCAGACTATTATCATAACTT